CCCCCCCCCCCCCCCGTCCACTTCCCCGTTATCTATTTATTACTTGTTACATACCGGCTTGTGAAATCCGACAGCCAAGAAGAAGGGTCTGGTTTCGCCGTGGTCAGTCTTGTTCTTCTTAAGCTCCTGCAACACGTTGAGTGCATTGTCAGCAATCTGCCCGTCTGGAAGCTGATTGTCCTCAAAGCCTTCAAATTCCCACCAGACCCCTTAACAAGGAAAAAACACAGATAAAATGTAGGGATTGTGCACGTCTGACTGTTCAAAGCCTGGCTTAGTTGGTGGACTCGATCGCATAACTTGTGCCCACATTTTCGACGTTTCAATTTTTTCCTTGGCTCACCATCTGAGTTCTTAAGTCTTCAAAGATGGGGCTAAATTATTTAGGGGCCTTTGACATACATTTGATCAAATTATGGTGTGGTCCAGTTTGTATTTCGCTGTAGCCTCATACATCTGGACAGATAAAGAGGAGGCAAACATGTGTCCACAGGGGCAGGCGTTGTTATTCGCATGTTGAATGTAGTATTGTTGAACTCATAGTTACGGGGACCACAACTGAACATCCTGCATGGTGTGTGTGTGTGTGTATATGTGTGTGTGTGTGTGTGTGTGTGTGTGTGTGTGCGTATGTGTGTATGTATGTGTGTGTGCGTGCGTGTGTGGGTGGGTGTGTGTGCGTGTGCATGTGTGTATGCATGCGTGCGTACGTGTGTGTGTGTGTGTGTGTGTACGTGCGTGCGTGCGTGTGTGTGTGTGTATGTGTGTGTATGTGTGTGTGTATGTGTGCGTTCATGCATACTGTATTTCCCCGATTATAAGTTGCACTCGATTATAAGGCCCACCCCATTTTCAGGTTTCAGCAATACTGTTTCGACCTGATCACTTCAGTAGTAAGTCATGCTCGATTGTAAGTCGCAACCCCCTTTCTCACCCTTGAATATTTGTGTAAAAAGGTGCGACTTATATTCGGAGAAATACGGTATGTGCGCGTGTGCCAGCAAATACATGCAGGTGGGTGCGATGGTGCCCTTCAAAGGGGGTTCTGGGGGCCTCCCCCAGGGAAAAAATTTCAAAAAATGAAGCAAAATCCTGCATTTTGAGCGAAAACAGGGGGGGGGGGGTTCCAGGCAGCCAGGAATCCAGACGGGGCACGCGCCTGTACATTTATGTTTGAGCCTTGAGCATGGTCAAGGTGATAGATTGATAGATATTGGACTCCTGTGGATAGGTCATTGCTTACTTGTTTTATTGCCTGGTCCATACTTGCCTTCCACGGGGGCTGTACATGCATATATACACACATACAGAACAACAACACATAAATACACACATACATACAAGACAATGTCAAGCAAGACGACAGTATCCTTCCATAGGGGTAGTGGAGACATTTACACCCTCGCTATCCCTACCTCTCCCTTATATGCACAGACAGACAGAAAGACACACACACACACACACACCTTGAACCTTGGATGCGCTGCCATATTCTGGCTATGCGGACCCCATGGGGGTTGAGCAGGTTCGGAACAGTAGGGGCGATGACGGGATAGATCCTGTGGTCTACTGAAACGCCGACCGCAATTGGAAACGATGCAGAAGGAGCTACGGTCTGTGTTGGTTGCTCTGGCCGAGCCACGGCTGCACTTGTGACGCTTCATGCCTTGGCGCGATAGCACACAGCGGTTGCAGCGGGCACAGTGGAAGCTGCAGCGCTCGCAGGACATATTGTTCGTAACTGGTGACTCAAGTGTGTCAGAAGATGCCTCTGCTGGTGATGTTGCTGGCGAGCACTTATGTCGGGCAAATCCACCCTTGTTCCGGAACCATCTGTCGCACTGGTCGCAGTGACATATTCCTGGCTGTTGGCTTACGGGCAGGGCACGCGTAGCTGTACACTTGTGTCGCTTCCTGTCACTTACACGACTGAAGGAGCGGCGACAAGTTTGGCACACAACCGGTGATGGTCGAGGTCTGTTCTGCTTGTCTGGCAGACAACGGTAAGCCTTGCGCCATTTGGAGCGAGAAGAGGTGGCCACTTCATACCAGTCGTCAAGTGGTTTGACGTCACTCTGAACACAGTCTCGCCATCCTTTCGCGGACCATGGGCAGGTCTCTTGTTTGGAATTGAACCGAACAGTAGAGCCTTCGGGATGCGCTCATCCTCCATCCTTGATACATGACCAAGCCATTCAAGCACACACACAAACGCACACACAAACGCACGCACACACACACCCCCCACACACACACAAACGCACATGTGCATAGACACACACACACACACACTCACACACACACATGCCGTACGCGTGCGAATACAAGCCCCCCCCCCCCTTCGAATAGAGCCCCCTCTCAAATACAGCCCGCCCCTCAGAGGCATTCGAAGTAATACAGCCCCGTCTCGAATAAAACCCCGGGGCTCTAATGTTGTTGTTGAAATTTTATTTTGTATCGCAGACCAAACGGGCAATGGTGCCCAATATTATGATGGCGATAAAGTAACGGCCGAGAGCCAAGGATACAACAAGCAAGCCTCCACGAAAGAGAGAAAAACACAGAAAACACAGACTGCAAATACTCAAAAAGAAAAAGAGAAAGGGAAAAAAAGAAAAAATGAAGAAGAAGAAAGCACAGTTGAGTCACGACTCCAAGTCCAAACCTAGATGCTGGCTAACCATAAAAATAAACCTTTAAAAGTCGCTTGAATGATCTATGGCAGGCGAGGGACTTGAACTCTTGGGGCAGGGCATTCCATAATCTAACAGCAGAAACGAGCGGCCGACAGTCACCAGAGACTCGCCTGGTGGCAGGGACAACATACGCATTTGGATCGTTGATCCGAGTGACGCCTTCAGTCTGGCGACGTAGGCGCTTGGACAGGAGATTACTAATTCTGGCGGTGTGGATGCGAAGCATGAGGAGGCGGAGTTTACAGTGGGCGTTTTGGATGATGGGGATGAGGCCTAGACGGGTGTTGATGGGATCTGTGTGGGAGGGGAATGGCTGGTTGGCAACGCAGCGGATACATCGCTTGTCGAGGACCGAAAGCTGATGCCGTTGGTGTGCAGAGAGAACCGAGAAGAAGGCATTAGATCCATACAACATGTCCGGTAGTATTAACGATCTGTAAAATAGCAGGGCTTGTTGCTCAGTTAAGCAGGAGCGAATGGCTCGCAGCGCCGTCAGTTTCTGGGAGGTCTTCCGTGTAATAGTTGCAACTTGAGTCTCCCACCGAAGCTGGGTGTCGAGATGTAGACCTAGATATCGAGCATTTGTGGTCTGAGCTAGGGGATTTCCATTGCATTCTATGTTAAGTAACAAGGGCTGCCTGCGAGACGCATGAAGGGCTAGAACGTGGGTTTTGCAGGGATTTAGTATTAAGCCTCTTTCTTCCAGAAAGTTGGCCAGGTTGGAGACCGAACGGGAGAGGGTTAAATTCAAGAATTTGACGGATTGACTGATGGCGTCTAGCAGGATATCATCAGCAAACAGCTGTGAGTGGGCTGGAGCTGTGATCTGTTCTATTTCCATTGTGTAGATGGAGAACAAAGGAGGACCCAGCACACTTCCCTGAGGAACACCACACTCACAGGGAGAGAGGGCGGACGACTGGCCATTGCTCAGGATGACTCGCTGACGGCGGTCAGTTAGGTAGCTCATGAACCAACTGAGCGCCGTTGAGGTAATACCAAGCTGAAATTGATCTGTAACCAAAATTTGGTGTTTGACCTTATCGAAGGCCTTGCTCATATCGACAAGTACAAGACCTGTATGGCGCTGCTGATCCGCTGCCTCCAAGTATCTGTCTACAGCCAATGTCAGGGCATCTTCTGTGGAGTGAAGTGGGCGATATGCGAACTGGTTTGCGGGGAACAAGGAATTTCCGGAGAGGAACTTACAGAGTCTCGTGTGGACTACCCGTTCTAGGACTTTGGAAAATATTGGTAATACCGATATTGGTCTATAGTTCTTAGCGACAGCTTTGTCGCCTGACTTGAAGAGGGGACGAACATCGGCAATCTTCAGAGATGCAGGAACAACACCAGAAGCCAGAGATGCATTGATTAGTATGGTGAGGGATGGTGCAAGGACAGGAGAACAGTGTTTGAGGATTGCAGCTGGAACCTGGTCGCTGCCTGCAGCTTTGCGCACGTCGATGTTGGAGAGTAGCTTAGCGATCTCTTGTACACTTGCTGGAGCAAATTCTTCGAGGCATTCCTTCTTCGTGGGACCCAATGGGGCTGAGAGACGTAGTGGTCTAGTTGGGTCTGACACAACACCGCTGAATTGGTCACTGAGCTGTGAGACACTGACGGCTGGTGGAACTGAGGACTTGTTACGACCGCTGAGGTAGTTGATGGTCTGCCAGGTTTTTCGTGCGTTGGCCTGACTAGCAGCAAGAAGGTCCCTAAAGTAGGTGGCTCGGAGATGTCGTGACATACGCTTGGCTTCGTCTCGGGCAGAAGTGAAGACATTGCGTAGAGCTGGGTCTGCAGGTGATGCTTTCCACCGTCGATGGGCCGCGTCACGTCGCTGGACTAGGTCATGTAGAGCTGGCGTCTTCCAGGGGAAGGATTTCCGGGTAGGAGCTCTTGGGCGGTGTAGACGGATAGGAGCATGAGTGTTCAAGGCAGCGACAAGTTTCTCCAGCCACATATCCCACATTTCATCTTCCGTCCACGCAAAGCAGAAGTTCTCTAGATCGCTATTTAGAAGGTGGTGTGCAAATTGACCCATATCAATTCTTGCAATGTTACGGCCACGTCGCACGGTCGGTGTGCAGGACGTTGTGAGTCGCAAATCAAGTGCCAGAGCGAAGTGGTCACTGATTGTACAAGGTACTACGACACAAGAGTTCACATGATCGTCTCCGACCAGAGCGAGATCCAGGGTTGTTTGGCTGCCTTGGGGTCCAACTCTGGTAGGACCGTCCACTTGGTTCTTGATGTCGAAAGATTTGCACAGGTGCAGCAAGCTGTTTAGCTGGGGGCTGTCGCGGGAGCTTACATCGACGTTGAAGTCTCCAACAAGGACTAGAGGTGATGTGGGAAGTGTGGAGATGACAGTGTCTAGTGCATTCGTCAAGTCTTGCCAGAATTGCACAGGAGTGCCTGGAGGACGGTACACACCACCAAGGAGAACCTTGGAACGCTGCCCATTGACCTCTAACATGAGCATTTCCACCTGGGTGTCAGCCTTCACAATTCGGGCTCGGAGATGATCTCTTACATATGCTGCTAAGCCTCCGCCATGAGTTGGCCTGTCGCGTCTGACCAGGGTGTAGTTCTGTATGCGTAGGATGTCATCGGAAACGGAGGTTGTTACGAAAGTCTCTGCCAGCATCATTATATCAACTTTATATGAAAGAATATAATCTTCAATTTCATGCTTTTTATTGAGAAGATGGCAAACATTTAGGAATCCTATTTTGAAGTTACTTTTAATTAATTCATGCTGTAGGGGATTTACAGTGGGGCAAATATTTCGTGGCTGAAAGATAGGTGCATGAGGGTTTAAGGGTTGAAAGGGGGCTGCGTGAGGATTTAAACAGAACATTTAGTGCTCCTCTGCAGCTCGACCAGTTGCTACACTGTCAGCCTTGAAGCGCCGTTCTCGAACTCTGACGTTTGAAGGCCAGAATTCCGGTTCCAGAACAGTAGCTTTGTGTTGTATTGGCAGAATTACGTGAGCAAAGGCCAACATGGCTAATCGAGCGCCCACAGTCCGTACGTTGCAGTGCAGTACATGAACCATGTACGGTATGCACGATCAACACAGTGTGCTTTGCGGATCACTAGATCCATATTGGAGGTACGGGATCGATCTGGCCCTCTGGGGTCAACGTACAGACATGCAAAAAGGGAACACACTGCGCCAGAAACGATCATCTTGAAAGGTGTGAAAAATTGATGTTTCTATGGAAAAAATATAGCCCCCTCTCGAATAGAGCCCCTCTCAAATACAGACTCTGGGTGTCTGGGTGTTTACTCTGGGTATCTTCTGGAAAAATAGAGCCCCGGGGCTTCTATTCGCGCCTATACGGTACACACATATCAGTGCTGGCAATCACTCACAATGGTAGTAGGGAAGACCTTCAGGACTCCACGAATACAGACTGTCATCATCACCATTAGGCTTGCCAGGATGAAACACTTTACCCATACCAATGGAGATGTACTACAGTTGGAGAGTCAAGAATATCAGAGAGAAAACACAAGCCTTGTTCTCTAGAACGAGAATCTTCACCAAGGCCAGTAGTAGCCATCATTTTGTAGAACACGTGGAAGTTGTCCCTTTTCCAGTTTGCACCTTTCCCTCAAATCAGTGGACATTTTCTGATTTGGGGCTCCCGGCGAGTCCCCCCATGCTAGTTTGTATATGAAGTGTGTGGATTGCAGTGAGAGCTGCGTCCTACCCGCCTGTGTAGATTCACAGGAGGGCGTGAGTCTGAAGAAAATGTTGAACGATCTCTGCTGGGATATCACCTACACTACAGCTCAGTGGTTTGAGCATCGCTGGCCTCAAGCGAAGGTCCCTGGTTCGGGCTCTGATGTAGTGTCCCGGATGATGATCCCCCCCCCCCCCCCATTCCCCGGATGCAGTGTCCCAGATAATAACATATCCGAGCTCTAATGTAGTGTTCCGGATGATGCCCCCCCCTTCCCGGATGCCGTGTGTTGGATGATGACCCCCCCCCCATTCCCCGGATGCAATGTGTTGGATGAAGACCTACTTGAGCTCTAATGTAGTTAGCTGGATGAAGACTTACCCCCTTGTTCTTGAAGTGCTGTGGAATGGTGGTGGCATTGAAGGTTTGCCGCCAGTATTCCTGTGGTGAGATGCTCTAATGTAGTGTCCGGGATGATGCCCCCCCCCCCCATTCCCCCGGGTACCGTGTTTTGGATGATGACCCCCCCCCCCCCCATTCCCCCGGATGCGTGTGTTGGATGATGCCCCCCCCCCCCCCCAATTCCCCGGATGCCGTGTGTTGGATGATGACCCCCCCCCCCCCCCCAATTCCCCGGATGCCGTGTGTTGGATGATGACCCCCCCCCCCCCCCCCCCCATTCCCCAGATGCAGCGTGTTGGATGACGACCTACTTGGGCTCTCATGTAGTTAGCGGGATGAAGACTTACCCCGTTGTTCTTGAAGTACTGTGGGATGGTGGTGGCATTGACGGTTTGCCGCCAGTATTCCTGTGGTGAGATGGACCATACGCGTGTGGTGTCTGGACGACGGCCGGTCAAGAGAGATGTTCTGGAGGAGTATCAAGCACGCACAAACATACACACGCACACATGTACACACATACACACAAGGCACACACATACAATCACACACACACAAACACCATGTATACGCCCATCGCAAGAGAAGCATGCAAATCTGCAAGTGCACTGGATGTGCACCCACAGATTTTCTCATATAGCCACGATAGCGGATCTGATTCTGGTAGCAATACACCCATCTGCATTAGCAGCATTAATAGCAGCAGCAGCAGCGGCATCAAAATACTGAAATCCCATCCTCTAACCAAGTATGATCTCCTTACCGGGATGGCGAGCAGACGGCCACTTGACAGTAGGCGCTATTGAATTGCATGGACTTAGCCGCCAGCTGATCGATATTGGGTGACTTGACTTCCTTCACTCCGTAGGTTCCTAGGTCGGGCCGAAGATCTGCGATGTACAAAGTGAACACAGCACTGATTTTCTCCCCATTGTCCTTATTAGAGGTACCTTACCGAAGAAAGCTCAATATTTTGATGAACAAATAGATTCCTCTCTGCTGTGTTAGACTTGCAAATGTTGCTCGCATAAACCACCACAAGAAGCATCTGCTAGTATCTATCCTTGGAAGGAAAATTATCTCAGTTGCCATACAAACAGTTGGAATTAGATAGCGCAACAGCGGATGCCCTATGACTGATTCATAATGCAACGCCCAGAACTAGATGGTGATGGTACATCCCTCGTGCACATAGGCAACACATCTCCTATCTTTCTTTAAACCTACTTTTCACATCAGCTGACCATAGCTCTGCTGTTGGAGGTAAACAAAATTATGAAATTTCACGGTTCTCGCGAGACTCGGCTGTAGGCCGAGTTTTTCCGCATCTCCACTGCCCTCTATGGATCAAGGCACAGGTGCAGCTTCTAAGCGGTGGGAGGCGAGTAGATCAGATCCACCACAAAGTGGTCAAAGACCAAAAATATCAGCATCCATGCAGCCCTCGTGCCAGGTCACGAGAATCCTTCCGCTTCCAAGCAGGACTTGAACCTGGTACCCTCTGTTTCTCAATCATTGTATTAGACCATCCCACCATGCCTGCCTGATATCGTTGGAGGTAAGAAGGGAAACATTTCAAAACATGCACTAGATGTGTATTGGCTTTCTGCAGCACCGGGCGGTGATGTGTATCAGCTAAACTGAGGTAGACTCTGCGGCATTGGTGTGATTGGTGCTGGCTTGCAATGGGTGTGTGGCCACACGTGCATTTTTCGTTCTTTTTCTATCACATTTCAAAGAAAATCATTTCAAAGAAAATCATTTCAACGCAATATTGTAAGGATGCACAGTAATGAGAGACAACAAAGAAAAATGAGAGACAAGCTGCGGTGAAATATTTACATAACTGCCAGCCCTTCGAAAGACTGAGATCGGGACATTGACAGTCATACCAGTACCTATGTGAAGAGGAGGTTGGTGCGACTTCGGCGATAGGGGAAGAGTGTGTTGCTCCCTACATGGGAGCTCGCGGTTTTCCTGCCGACTTGAATTCTCACTTGACTGACTCATGACTGCCATCCAGAGCACACGAGAAGTCCATCGCACCGTCCACTCAGCAAACCTGTATGAAAAGCACCACTCTCTGCTCAATACACAGTGTTTCGGGGAACTCACCCCTCATCAGTTGAGCTTGAGTAGGCTGAGGAAGATTGTGCCTGAAGAGCACCACTTTTATAGTGCTCTCCAGGCACAAACATCACCAGGGATACAAACTAACACTTACAGAGACGCTCCGTTTCAAGCGCAACAAACACCTCGTGAACAACAGATAGCAGCGTGAGTCAGTGTCGCTCAAGGAGGTGCTGAACAAGCGCTAAGGACAGTTGGCCATTCACAACGTTGTTGCCTCCAAACCATCTAATTCGCAAGCCCGTGCTGGGGACAACATCGCAGGATGGGCGTGCACTGCATTGCAGGATCATGTGAGCACACATCACACGATAGCCGGGCATCACAGGATGGGCGTGCACTGCATTGCAGGATCATGTGAGCACACATCACACGATAGCCGGGCATCACAGGATGGGCGTGCACTGCATTGCAGGATCGTGTGAGCACACATCACACGATAGCCGGGCATCACAGGATGGGCGTGCACTGCATTGCAGGATCGTGTGAGCACACATCACACGATAGCCGGACATCGCAGGATGGGCGTGGGTAAAGGTGCAGTTTATGGGTCCCAAATGATTTCGCACTTTCTCAGTGTTCTGTATACTGTCACGCCGGTGTTTATGTACTGTAAATATACAAAATTTCGGTGCTGCAAAATTTCGGCACTTCATGATTTTTGACATTTCAGCGGCGATTTATTTTCGGCGTGGGGTAGAGGGCATGGTATAGTGGGACAGATGCTGTGAAAAATTCATCGGCGTTTTAATTTAGGCGCTTTGGGTCGGTGCAGAATATAGCCGAATTTAAATAGCTGCCGAGAATTTGTATATTTACAATACACAGAAGGCATACGTGACAGTACGCAGAACACAGGGAAAGTGCGAAATCATTTGGGACCCTAAACGGCACCTTTACACAGGCGTGCATTGCAGTACAGCTGTAAGCAACCTGAGAACAGATGTGCATCATCACAGGATTAGCACAAACAACAGGATGGCTGTGCGTCGACACACTACGACATTTAGCGCTGACAGTGCTCAATCAGCCAGCCCAGTGGTCAAGAGTGAGAGTTTCACACAGCCATGGCTGATGCAGCACGCCTTCAAGATAAAATTATTATATTACTACAAAGGTCATGTACAGCTAGTAGGTGCAATAGCACACATACTTCAGCTCCGAATTACAGGTTGTCTGGCTCACAGCGACAAGAGCTTTCTGTAGTCAGGATAGAAAATTGTTTGAATGGGAGTGTGGTGTTTTGAACGATAGCGGAGTGGGCCAGTGGGGTGTTTGCAATGGACGTACAATAATGCCCGTATGGCAATACTGAATGTTCCCGTGGACTGACTTCAATCCTAACAGGTTTGTTGTTCCTGTCGAAAGGGTATTTCCGGACCATAAGCACCCGCTGCCTTTTGTCTAAAAAACTGCCTTTTGTCGAGTACACAAGAAATGAATGAACTAAAATTATTCGGATGCTTCTTGGCTTACCATCTATTGCGAAGAACAGGACGTTCTTGCGATTACCCGGAGGTGGTGGAACTGAGCTAGTTCCCAGCTCTGCACCATGGAACACCACCAACGCCGGCAGCAGCAGCTGCAAGAGCAGAGCAGGGTGCCGTGTTGTCGAATGCATGTCCGCCCGCCGGCGCAACGTTTATCAGTGTCGACAGCGTGAATTCGGCGAAGCCACGGAGTGAGGCGAACCGCTAAGCGGAAGGGCCAATGAACCTGCCAAAGATATCGTCCGGAAGATTGCACAACCCTTCAGGCTGCTGGGATGGCTCCGTTGAGAAGTTACCACTGGTCAGCTTTCCTCCCGAACGGCAGAAGCACACACGCCGACAACGACGTCGAACGTATTGCATTGCTGATAAGATCATTCAAACGACAGACCAGCGTTTGAGATGCGCCGTCCTCCCTTGAAGTTGAACTTGAAGGTACATGTATGGGGCATGCCTGACCGAATGCGATCGTGTTTTTTTGTATCTTCCGATTTCGGTAGGATCTATGCCTATGGACACTCGCTCACCTTCGTCGCTAACAAAACTCAGGGTGGTGCACGGAAGTCTGGAAGGGTAAGCGACGATCGCAAGTCCGTAGTCTACTACGAGGTCGCACTGACCTGGCTGGGTACATGTACATGTGTGTAAATGACTATGTTGGAGAATGCGAGTTCTTACAAAAGAACCGTTTTTAAAGGGGAAGTAGACCCTAAAATCAAATTTTCACCAGTTGTAGTCTTCTGGGTGCTGAGTCGAATGGTCTTGGTCCGAGAAAGCTGAGACGCTCCCTTCCTACTTGAATCCCAATCGAACTCGCGCACTTCCACCGAAACTGGGTGACTGCGCCCTACTAGATGGGGAATTGTATGCAAAATGTCACTAAAAGCGCCATTTCGTTCTTATAAAAGCATGGATGACCGCGATTGGCCCATATGTTGTAGTCTTTTGGACGCTGAGTCGACTGGTTTTGGTCCGAAAAGGCTGCGATGCAGCGTTCCTCCTTTATTCCCAATCGAACATGGTTGAACAAGCGGTCACGTGCTCCTGGGTGCCCAAATCACCTGGTCACCGCGCCAGCAGGCGACAAATTTCACACCAAGGTTCAACTCGAGTTCAACTCGAGTGACAGGAGTGCACCCAAAAAAGGTCAAACAGGCTAGTAGTACCCTGCAGGCACGGTGACCAGGTGACTGGTGTACGCAGGAGCACGTGACCGCTTGTTCAACCATGTTCGATTGGGAATAAAGGAGGAACGCTACATCGCAGCCTTTACGGACCAAAACCAGTCGACTCAGCGTCCAAAAGACTACAACATATGGGCCAATCGCGGTCATCCGTGCTTTTATAAGAACGAAATGGCGCTTTTAGTGACATTTTGCATACAAATCCCCATCTAGTAGGGCGCAGTCACCCAGTTTCGGTGGAAGTGCGCGAGTTCGATTGGGATTCAAGTAGGAAGGGAGCGTCTCAGCTTCCTCGGACCAAGACCATTCGACTCAGCACCCCGAAGACTACAACTGGTGAAAATTTGATTTTAGGGTATACTTCCCCTTTAAAAGTGCTAGCGAGCAAGTGAAATAAGTGTTTTTGATCTACAAAAGTACAATGTTGCTATGACTTTTGTTTCCAGGAGTCTCTGTATCTATCGTTTATGGTATTGCCTATACTACTGCACACAATCAGGAGCACTAGCAGGTGAGATGCTGGTAGCAAGTGTATATTTTCGCTCGCCCCAGTTTCGGTGGACACACCTGTTCACTTCCCTCCACATCACCTGCTTTCTGGTAAGTGCAATGTAGTTCAAGAAAGGTCTGAAGTTCAAAGGTCGTATCAATGGCAACCATGGGGACGAGCGCGGCGCGGTACGTGTTCGAGGTCATGCCGCGGCCTAGACATACATGTACATGTACATGTAGATCCCAAATGTTGTGTACTGCTCTATAAAACCCAGTCACATCACTCGAGTACTCGCCGGGCGTTCCACAGCCATAGACCTGCAACACTGGGCTGCGAAATGATGCAAGGCGCTAACCTTGAGTGACTTGACTGCTGGATTTCATTGAGCAGCACTGTACATGTAGATATACATGTATGATGTAGCTCAATGGCCTAGGCTACAGTCCATTCAGAAAAAAATGAACTTCTAGCTTTTGGCCATAAATGGGTCAAACGTTGAGTTTTTTTAGAATTTTTTTCTGCAATCCCATATGGAATCCTCTTCCAATTATGTTTCTGAAGTTTTTTTGTCCAAAAAGCAAGCCATAGCAAGAATAGGATTTCGGCCAGGTTTTGCCCCAAAAGCACTGAATTGGGAAAAACCATCAAAATCCAGGCCGTTTGACCCCACCTGCAACAGTGCATTCTGCGGTTCGAACCCCAGTTCAGGCACCCTTTTTGGACCCTTTTTCAAATTTCAAAGTTCGCAGCACTGCACTGTGTACGATGAAATCACGAAAAATCGCCAAATACGGGAGCTCGCCAGAGCCAGGACCCATCTTTTTATGAATGGACTGTAGAGCTTGGAAGATGTTTTCTTTAAATTTCCTTTTTTAAAGTTTTACTTCTGCCAGTATGAGTACTAGTACTACAGTATTCACTTCGTCTTGAGGGTTAGACGTAGACATGGGGAGGAAGATGATACTCGATACAATGTCATTGTAGTTTTTTAGGTCATCAAGCCATTCAAGGTCATACCGCTCGTGAAGAAGAGCACACGGTTCAGTCTTCCAGGACCAGCGACTGCGGTGCACTACCGTGAGCCTCTTTGTGTTGATAGCTGCCTGGTGGGGTCAGTGTGATGATTCACTGCGCAAAGTAGCCCTTGACGCATCTGTCAATGAAATCCAGGCAGAAGTGCCAACAAAAGGCATCTCAATAACTATTGTTTTAACTCATGGATCCTTCCATGAGTGACATGCGAACTGTAACTATTAGCCCTGCTGCATGTGATACCACATGTACAGTACTAGGCGTAGCACTTGCGCCTGCGGGTCACAAGAATGTCAGAATTCAGCATTGCACAAATCAAACTAGATCAGTTTTTAATAGCCTCTAGCAGACACGCTCTTTCCCATTCACTCCGCGAAATCGAACTCGTTTTACTACAACGTTTCGGCAAAAATGCCCTCTTCAGGTACAAATGTATGCACACCTGATCTGCTTACCTTATGAGTATGAGGGCAATTTAGCCGAAACATTGTAACTATTTGAACGAGTTCGATCTTGCAGAGTGAATGGGAAAGTGCGGGTCTGCTCTAAAAACTACTTCCGATGAATGAAGCTGCATGATTCAGCATGAAGCCTCACCATTATCCTATGACCGGTTTTTCTACATGAAGTACGTCATGTAGCTCGTAGAAATCATGACTGCAGTCTCTAGTGCAGAGAAAGTACTTGATTAGTTAGTTGATTGATCTGATCCAGGTGGGGCCAAGACCCAATAAGTACCCTAAAAAATAGCCAAAATGTGATGGCTATGTCGGTACGGGGATGACTGGGGACAGCCTGGTACATGGTGTTCCGGTCTGCATGACCGGTGACCACCTATACATGTACATGTAATACGAATGAGCATTTTACGGCATTACTGACTACATCATACATGTATGGCACATAGACTGACATAGTCATTGCTTGCAGAATCTGGCTACATCATGACCGTAGACTAGTACAGTCAAACCTGTTTAGGACGAACACCAAGGGACCGATGGTATTTGTTCGTAATAACGGGAGTTCTTCTTATCCATATTTTCTACCTACCGGTAGTGAATACACAGTGATTTATCCAATAGAACTATGAATTCTAGTTCTTCTAAAGCGAAACTTTGTCTTATCAATATCAGTGTTCTTCTTACCGAGGTTTCATTGTATGTAGTGTAGAGCAGTCACAAAAACTATTAATTATTTAAAAAAAGGAAAGACTGCGGACATGAAAGCTTTGCTGTTTCGACCTTGCAGCTTGTTGAGTCTCGTAGGCGGAGCTCAGTTGATACTTGTAGAGGAAGAAGAACAGAGCTCCTCCCTTCGCTACTCTTCTACTCTACTATGTACTGAGCCAGTGCCATTGACTTCGCTACTCTTCTAGGTCTACTCTACTGTCACTGAGCCAGTGCCATTGACTTCGCTACTCCTCTACTGAGCCAGTGCCTTTTACTTCGCTACGCTTCTACTCTACTGTCAGTGTCACTGAGCCAGCGCTATTTACTGGTGTTTACTTGTTAGATGCCGTACATACTGCAAGCTACCTAGTACTACATGTAGTAGCAGTACAATCGTGTAGATCTACCTGGGAAACTCAAGACAACACTGTCAACAGCAAGCTGATTTTTTATTTCTATTTTTGTACATCAGATTCTATACTGCACGTCTAGTCTTAGCTCAAGGCTTGGACTTGGAGACGACTCCAGTCTCGATCGGCGAGGTGATCAACAGTCCGGTCCACGACCAGCGTGTGTGCAAAGGAGACGGACCGTCATTCTCAAACACCCGCTTGGTAGATCTACGCCCGATAATACACTACATTGTCCATGATTGTACTCATTCTGTACTGGACTGTAGCGTGGGCTCCTCAAATCTAGATTAGAGAAAAGGTGGACTGTTTTCCGTGCATGTCGGAAGTTAGTTCCGACAATTCACATTACGCGGCCGGAGAGGCACCGGCCGGGCGGAAGGACATTGCCGACTCAGACGCGAGCTACGAACTGAACCGAGAGTCGCTACTCGTTCCCTCTCGTCGAGACGGGAAGCATGTCGAGTCGTCGGTCAAGGTCGGATGACCTCCAGTTCACGCCGTTACTACAGTCAGAGATATACGAGGCAGCGATGCCTGCATCAGCCGCTGCCCGAAACGGACGACCCAGCCCTGGCCGGATCAGGCCGCTGGGGCGGGATGCGCTGCGCGAAATGGTGATATCGCACTCCGACGCATCTTCTCTGCTTCATGATTTGGGTGGCACTTTGCAGTCTGGACCTACCACTACCGGTTCCGGCGTAAGTACGACACCGGCGATTCCCTTTCTGCAGTACTGACCTGATTGCTTGAAGTCCGTAAACCATGGTAAACTATACAGTGTAAAGTAGTTACTGACTTGATTTTGAAGCTGTTGTAAGATTTCCCTCCAAGTGTTGAAATCGCCGTCAACAAGCGAGCACAGGGTTTGACAATGACATCATTTTCGCCTCGCTCCCGCCCCCGACAGTAGTCTTTATACACACTGATTATGCAGCACAGCCAACCTGCCAGTAACAATGCCTAACAAATCATTCTAACACGACATGATCGGGGTGATGTCAACAGTTCTATATTGCATACTGCAGTGGCTGTTCTGACGGGCTCGTCATTGGTTGATTCTATCAGAATTTGCTAACCGAACGAACTGTATACCTTAGATAATGGATGACAATGACCAGAAATTGCATTTTTCCTCCAAACGGGATATCCCATGGCCGCCATACGTAAAAGTGAGCAGAGAAAAATTGATGTATAGTGTAATTTCACAAATTTTCGGTGTACTATTATTTTCGGTAATTTCAGTGCATCTGTTTCATACCTAAAATTTCAATACACCGAACAAACACCAACACACATAATCCAATAGGGAACTGCTTCTCTGTACCGAAAATTTCTGTTCACCTAACCTGGCCTTTTGCCCTCATACCGAAAATATTGAACACCTAAAATTTCTGAAATAGAGTATGTCTCCAACACTTCGGGACACATGTATAATACCTGACTAGCGAGTCCCAGAGCATCACGAGTCTGATTTTGAGAAAGCATTATCTCTGTACAGTCTGTAAGGGCCGAAGCATCATCATCAGTTGTTCACGCACTCATGCACACACACACACACACACACACACACACACACACACACACACACACACACACACACACACACACACACACACATACACACACACACACACACACACACCTGGCCTGGTATACAGCTGCCAAATGCTTGGCCACGCCGCCCCCGAGACAGGGGAGAGTAGAAGAGAGAGTTCGAGAGAAGTCAGCACTGCCACTAGGAAGCCGCTCCGCCACGACGCCGTCCACGATTGCAATTGTGTCGCCGAAAGCCAGAAGCAGATTTAAAACAGCGATCACAGGCAGCGCAGTGCTGGTTGCAACACGGATGGCTGGTAATTGGTATGCTTAGGGCGCGTTCGAATTGTCACTCTTTGACTTTTCGAGGAGTTTCGTTTTTCTGAAGAGGTGGCCTTATTGGCCTCTTCAGAAAAACGAAGCTCCTTGAAACTCCTCGAAATTCTACAACCTCATCCGATGGGAGAGGTGGATAAGTTTCGAAAAGTTTGGATTAGCTACATCACGTAGTACGTGGAGATGGTCGATCTGATCGGACGTCATCATCGCCATGACAATTCCACTGAAAAACTCTAAAATGATAGAAACCGTTCTAATGGGACACTTCAACTAATCTCTTTTTAAAATTTGCTTGAACAGTTGATGAAGACAATTCAAACGCGCCCCTAGAGACATACAGTCGTGTACTTGAAGTAAGACCAACCCTAGTACAGTCAACTTCGCTAATAACGACTGCGGATGTAACGACAATTCGCGAATAACGACAGAAATTCTATGCCCAGGACAGAGTCCCATCTAACTGTAGTACATATAATGAGACTTCGCGAGGACGCTTCGTAAATAAAGACACTTTTCTGATGCCCCGCCGAGTGTCGTTTTACGCAAAGTTGACTGTAGCAATACAAATGTGACGTGACCTGTGCAGTATTTATGGTTAGACATGCTTGAACACATTTCGTGTCATGCCCACCATATCACTCTCGACCAGTTGATGGAGACGGTGTGATTATTCTCTCATCCCCCTCCCAGGCTGCACCTGAAGCTCCTCCACCCGCCAGCTCTGCGGAGGAAGAGTTCTTCTTCGATGAGCCAGGGGAAATACCAATGCAAGATGACTACATGGAGGATGATGGGATGGACCCTGGAATTGTGCGTGGAGATCCGGGACGAGCTGAAGCAGCTGCCTCTCAACCGCCAGCCACACTGTTACGCCGCTATGTAAACTGTGTTGCAAGTCAGCAGAGTGTGAAGGTACATGTAAGTCATGTCATGTTGTCAGTGTAGCACTGCCATGGTTTGCAAGTCGTTGCCTCAGGGACAGATCCGGACGAGGCTAGAGAGAGAGAGAGAGAGAGAGAGAGAGAGAGAGAGAGAGAGAGAGAGAGAGAGAGAGAGAGAGAGAGAGAGAGAGAGAGAGAGAGAGAGAGAGAGAGAGAGAGAGAGAGAGAGAGAGAGAGAGAGAGAGAGAGAGAGAGAGAGAGAGAGAGAGAGAGAGAGAGAGAGAGAGAGAGAGAGAGAGAGAGAGAGAGAGAGAGAGAGAGAGAGAGAGAGAGAGAGAGAGAGAGAGAGAGAGAGAGAGGTTGTGTGTGTGTGTGTGCGTGCGTGCATGCGTGTGTGTGTGTGCGCATGACTGCTTCTGTTCGGGTGGATGGCAAGCTGACTGACCCGATAACTGTGAGGAATGGATTGCGTCAGGGCTGCACTCTTGCACCAATGCTCTTCAATTTGTACTTCTCTGCCGTCGTTGCCAGTTGGAGGTCCAGTTGTCCAGACGCTGGCAAATCCTTTCAATATAAAGTCGGGAGGAGAACTAGTTGGTGACCGAACGGCAAAGGGCAAGCTCCTGTCATCAACCGTCACAGAATCCCAGTTTGCTGACGACGCTGCACTTTACGCAACATCTTGGCCTGCCTTCGAAGCGATGACTTCCAGCTTCATCACATGCACAAGCAGCTGGGGCACAACGGTCAGTGTGAGAAAGACCAAGGGTATGGCTGTGGGTGAGTCTGCTGATCACCGTGACGTTGTTGTCGGAGCAGACACGATTGAAGTGGTGGACCAATTCACCTACCTTGGCAGTGTGCTCTCCTCGGATGGTCTAGCCTGTGCTGTAGCCTGTGCTGATGTCCGCACTCGCCTTGCGAAAGCCTCAGCTGTGTTCGGAGCCCTCAAAGCTCTCGTTTTTGATAACAAGACCCTGTCGCTTCGCAGCAAGAGGCGTGTGTATGAGGCTGTCGTTCTCACGACCCTCTTGTATGGTGCAGAGACATGGACCACCAAGGCCGGCCACCTCCAGAAGCTAAACACGTTTCACCATCAGTGTGTTCGGTCCATCGTTGGTATCGACCGTCATCAACAGTGGGATGATCGGATCACAACGGCCACATTAGCAGCATACATTCGGTGTAGACCCTAACATCACCAGCATCATCCGTCGCCACCGTCTTCATTGGCTGGGTCATGTCGGCAGGATGGGCAACTCGCGCGCACCGAAGCAATTGCTGTTCGGCGAGCTGCCTGCCCCCCGTCCTCGTCACGGCCCGAAGAAGAGGTGGCGAGATGTGGTGTCGACTGACCTGGCGGACCTCGTTGTGACCACCTGCCTTGAGAGTTGCCAAGATCGTCCCGGCTGGAGACGAGTTGCGAGCAGCACTCCACCGCCACGGCCCGCTCCTGATCCTCTTCTCTGTGTCTGTGGACGCCCATTTCGTCGACCAGGAGACCTGAAACGACATGCCAAGTTCTGCGCTCGTGTACTCACTTGAACTTTCCGACATTCGCTATCATTGCATACGGAATGGGCAAGATCAAGGTCAAGGTGTGTGTATGTGTGTGTGTGTGTGTGTGTGTGTGTGTGTGTGTGTGTGTGTGTGTGTGTGTGTGTCTGTGTCTGTGTCTGTGTCTGTGTGTCGTATATGTGTGTACATTGTGTGGTGTGTGTGTGTGTGTGTGTGTGTGTGTGTGTGTGTGTGTGTGTGTGTGTGTGTGTGTGTGTGTGTGTGTGTGTGTGTGTGTGTGTGTGTGTGTGTGTGTGTGTGTGTGTGTGTGTGTGTGTGTGTGTGTGTGTGTGTGTGTGGCCAGTGAATCCCTATTTTTGGTCTTTTCATTTTTTTTCCCCGCACACACATCACACCACATACTCCGGCATAATAATAATAATAATAATAATATAATAGCTATAAAGAGAACAAATTCTGCTGTCATCGCCACACTACAACAAAGTCATGAAGGTTTACCAAAATCGATTTTCTTGTCACAATCATCAGTGGAAAGCCGTGACTGAAGAATAACCATGCCAAATCAATAATTTATATACATTTAATAAATGTGATTAGAAGCGGTGAGGCCTCCTGCAGTTTCATACAGAATTACAGATGGAGCGGACTCGCTCCCTTCTATTTACACTGCAACGTTCGAACACATTTTCGTAGTTAAAACAACGTTTCGGCATATAGCCCTCATCAGGTTTGCAATGATGTGCACTCTACAAAGGAGCAGCAAATATACTGTGCTGTGCTGTGTTTGCGCCAAATGTGTCAGCTACAAAGGTGGCGAAAGGAATTGGTGATATATTCTTGTACGGAAGTCCCTTTCTGCGCACTTGTCCTGTATTGCGTCGCTCAGAAGTCGGAGACAGTACTGGAAGCGTCTTTGCTGTCGAACACTCTTGTGCCTTGAGGCTGGAGGTGGCCGAACCGATTGCGTGATGAACCGTGGGATGATACGCTCCCGCCGGCATTGAAGAAGAAACGACAACTGGCACTGGCTCCTCTGGAGTTTGCACCCCCATTGCAAGTATCGCCATGGCGCCTCGCTCCTAGAAGAGGAGAACCAAGAGATTAGAAGCGGTGAGGCCTCCTGCAGTTTCATACAGAATTACAGATGGAGCGGACTCGCTCCCTTCTATTTACACTGCAACGTTCGAACACATTTTCGTAGTTAAAACAACGTTTCGGCATATAGCCCTCATCAGGTTTGCAATGATGTGCACTCTACAAAGGAGCAGCAAATATACTGTGCTGTGCTGTGTTTGCGCCAAATGTGTCAGCTACAAAGGTGGCGAAAGGAATTGGTGATATATTCTTGTACGGAAGTCCCTTTCTGCGCACTTGTCCTGTATTGCGTCGCTCAGAAGTCGGAGACAGTACTGGAAGCGTCTTTGCTGTCGAACACTCTTGAACGTTGCAGTGTAAATAGAAGGGAGCGAGTCCGCTCCATCTGTAATTCTGTATGAAACTGCAGGAGGCCTCACCGCTTCTAATCTCTTGGTTCTCCTCTTCTAGGAGCGAGGCGCCATGGCGATACTTGCAATGGGGGTGCAAACTCCAGAGGAGCCAGTGCCAGTTGTCGTTTCTTCTTCAATGCCGGCGGGAGCGTATCATCCCACGGTTCATCACGCAATCGGTTCGGCCACCTCCAGCCTCAAGGCACAAGAGTGTTCGACAGCAAAGACGCTTCCAGTACTGTCTCCGACTTCTGAGCGACGCAATACAGGACAAGTGCGCAGAAAGGGACTTCCGTACAAGAATATATCACCAATTCCTTTCGCCACCTTTGTAGCTGACACATTTGGCGCAAACACAGCACAGCACAGTATATTTGCTGCTCCTTTGTAGAGTGCACATCATTGCAAACCTGATGAGGGCTATATGCCGAAACGTTGTTTTAACTACGAAAATGTGTTCGAACGTTGCAGTGTAAATAGAAGGGAGCGAGTCCGCTCCATCTGTAATTCTTTAATAAATGTGTTACGAGAACAAAACAAAGTGCTAAAAATAGAATGAGGGAAGGTGAGACAATAGAAGTAAAGTGAGAGCTAAGTGCAACAGGGGTGAGGAACTAATTGCAACGCTAGAACTGTGTAGTTAGACAAACAATCATGCTGTGCACCTACGAAAACAATCTTAACGCGACTACATGTTTCTTCTGCTTACAAAGATCAGGCTTATGCAAACGAATACAAACAGCCTCAAGTACTTTCAACTGACTAGCGTACCGTGCACGACAAAGAACAGAAAAACTAAAATCATCATACACCTGCAGACACTTAGGGTGAGACAACAGATGAAGAAAAACGGCAGACTTCTTACAATCACAATCACCATCCGATTCCTCGTCTCCACCAACCGCAACCTCGTCCCCCGTCTCATCTTCCAACTCGTCCTCAGTGTCGTCCTCCGTGTCATTCTCCTCATCACCACCGATCGGTCCCAGGCTCGCTTCACGTTGCTGAACCTCTGTTCGTTGACTCCTCCTTTGATCTTGATGGTAATTTGTTACCATTGTTGTAGTTCCTCACCCCTGTTGCACTTAGCTCTCACTTTACTTCTATTGTCTCACCTTCCCTCATTCTATTTTTAGCACTTTGTTTTGTTCTCGTAACACATTTATTAAATGTATATAAATTATTGATTTGGCATGGTTATTCTTCAGTCACGGCTTTCCACTGATGATTGTGACAAGAAAATCGATTTTGGTAAACCTTCATGACTTTGTTGTAGTGTGGCGATGACAGCAGAATTTGTTCTCTTTATAGCTATTATAAAATTGTTGTCTCCGCGTCGATTATTTAAATAATAATAATAATAATAATAATAATAATAATAATAATAATAATAATAATAATAATAATGAACAAAATGAGAACAAAGGAAATAATATAGCAATCAAGGTAGGGTGACACGATACAATGACAGCACTAGAATATCGAGGTGCGATTTCTCACAAAAGTGTGCAGAAAACAAGGGTATACAAGTAAGAACTAAGCGTGACAAGTGTGTATCAGCAACAAAAAACAAAAAAGTGAGAACGAATGATAATAATAACAATAATAAACAAGAAGGTGACAAAACACATTTAGGCACAAGTGGCAATAACGTTGCCACACTACACAACAGAACATTATTTGAACAATTTTAGGGTAATAACACTATCTTTCTGGACACACAAATTCGGCTTATGAATGCGCTGACAAACAGCTTCCAAAACTTGTAACTGCAAAAGATAACCATGACGAGCACGGCACAAAACAGAAAAACAGGAATCAGAATAAGTACGACAACAGTCAGTACTAGAAACCAAATGATTGTATACTGAAGACTTGTTATTACGAGACGGACGCACACAATCTCGACTCACGCGCACACCCTCACACTCCCTCTCACCCTCACTCAGCTCACCTTCTCCCTCACTGTCCGAATCAGAACCTGCTCCGTCATCCACCGCGGTTTGACTCTCCTCCTCACTTGCATCGTCCT